ATGAGTATCCTCGGAGGGCTCCTGGTCACTGTACAAATCCGCTCTTCACAGATGCTGATATTATTTGCAGTGCTCTTCCGGTGCTGTTCGGGGTCTCATACAGTGCAGGGATCCTGTCATTCACCCGACCCTCCATAGAAAACCTTGCATTCTGTGAACAGAACACAACCCCTGCACTGTACAAGACCCCAAAGTCTCAGTCACAGCACAGGAACAAGAGCACTGTGAAGTAATATCCAGCATCGGCAAAAGAGGATTTGTACAGTGACCAGCAGCACCCCGAGCATAGAATACTCATCATTAAAAGGCAACTTAGAAAATTTTCTGCTGTTCCACCTGAAATGCTTATTAAGTCCAGGAGGGTTGAGCATCAGCAAAAAGGATTTGTACAGAGTATAGGATACTCATCATTAGAGGCAACCTATACGACTTGTACCGTACCACTTAACTCTTGCAATGCAAGAGGGAGACACTTAGATTTTGTGCGAGTCGGAGGGGTGACTCCCCCTGCAGTGTTGCTATCTCTGCACTGCAAGGGTTAACTGCTCATTTATGTCCAGGGGTATTGTGTAAAGGACTTTTACTGACCCATGCTTGTGGATCTTGTCCCCCGGTGTCCTCACAGGATATGGGCCCTGCATTGTACACGATGACAGGCCTCTGTCGGAACACAGGGGTACAAGGCTGCAGGCTCAGGATTTGGGGGATCAGATCAGTAAAAGTCCTTGACACAGGTCCATTTAACTCTTGTAGTACAGGGGAGCCCCAATAAAAGTGGAGTTCTCCTTTGTCCTGGAGATCTGCACACATTGATGACTTTTCTATCTTCCTGGAGTTAAGCTGTGGAAGTAGATCCAGCGGTAGACCCCGGTGATGGATGTCAGAGAGGGAGATCTCACTCCAATCAGGTGTCTGACTCTCCATCTACAATGAAATGCCACTTCTTGATGGAAGGCCCCTATACCCTGCACACAGGTCCCCCATCCACCCCCAGGCTCCCTATCATCAATGCACCCGAGCAGTAAACACGTACTTCCTCCTCTCCATGGAAGCACAATACAAATCCTATGTGACACATAAACACATCCTGTCACCGCACATTCACCAACACTGACATGCCATTACACATCACGGAGAGGACGCCATAGCAGAGCACGAAACAATGCAACAGGCGCCGGTCCCCGGCTTCTCACCTGCATCCCAGGCACTTGCACGGCTACCGGGGAATGAGCCATGGCGGCGGTGAGGCCTCCTGCTCCGGCGGTGTGCTGTGGAGGGAGGAAGGAGGGCTGTCCTGGAGGGCTGGGCCCGGACTGCTGACGAGACGAGGCTGCGCGGCTAGGCTGTCACTATCCGGCTGTGAGCATGTCTCGGTGAGCGCCAGGGAGCGGAGGGCTGGGAGAGCTCAGCAGGCGAGCGGCGCCATATTGGGAGAGGACGGGAGGCTGCGGCAGCTTCTTGTGCGCAGGGTGGAGCCCAACTAAAGCCGGTCACGTGGCGGTGCCGCTGACGTAACGACGCCCCGCCCTCGCCCTGGCGGCCCCGCCCAGTAAGTGAGGGAAAGGTGAAGGTGGTGTGAGCTGGCTGCCGGGGAGGCTCAGCTGATTGCATGGTGTCTCCGGGGACAGTATCGGGTCCTGGAGGCTCGTCTGGGCAAATGAGGCTGACAGTCTCTTCAGGAAATTGTCTCCGCTTCTCAGAACTCCAGGAATATATAAAAGACATATATTAATTTAACTCTGAATAAATCATGAAATGTATGTTTATAATGGCTATATTGTGACAACCTGACTGTGTCTTGGTGTCACCCCCCTCCCCCTCCATACAGATTTCAGAGTGAGCAGAGAGGTGACCTGATCAGTCTCTTGTTGCTATCCAATCTGCTTCACTGTCCAATCAGCAGACTGGAGGCAGACAGAAGTCATCACTATATAAATTTACAGTCTATGACTGTAAAGCTGAAAATTCACAGACAAGCAAAATGATGCGACTCCCCCATTTGTGCCAAAACTGCATGGATGGTAACATCTCCACCTGCTGGCTATAGCATGGGTAGGAAACCTCCACACTCCAGCTGGGGTGAAACTGCAAATCCCATCATGCCTCTGGCTCTGGGAGTCATGCAAGTGGCTGTCAGAGTCTTGCAATGCATAATGGGACTTGTAGTTCCAGAACAGCTGGGGTGCCAAGGTGGCCTACCCCTGGACTATTGTATTCTGACAGGCGGACCATTGCTGTCTAAATACCAGAACAGTGACCGCATCTGATTGGACGCTCGTTCCGTGGGGGGTCTGGGTGCTGCCAGTATATGGTCTTTCCCAGGGTGGAAAGACACTATCACTGAGTTCCGTGAATGTGTATGTGCATGCACGGAAGTCGGGGTGCCTCGACATTTTGCATAATTTAAAAGTGTGCCTTGACTTAAAAAAGGTTGAGAAACACTGCTGTAGACAATGCAACTGTACAATGTTTTGTGTCATCATTTGGAATATTAGACAACATGGGGAATCCGAGCAAGGCAATGTGGTGGACTGTGACTATGTACAAGGCTTGTTGTAATTGGATGTCTACCAATGCATCCCTCTATGTATAATGATTAATAATAACATAGACATATCTGGTGTAAAATGCTGTGATTGTGAAATACTTACACTTGCAGAGCATTCACTTCCTGATTTGAAAGGGAAAAATGACTTCAGGTTGCCAACACAATGCACACTGGGATTGCCTTGTCATCAGCAGATCATTGCTGGGAAATCTCATCTGTAATCTCAGGAGATCTCCGGGAAAGGCGATTTCCTCCCCTGAGATGATGTGCATGGTCACATGTCCTAGTCACATGTTTAGTCACATGTTACAGAAATCCAGGAAGTAAAAGGAGAGCTAGTAATCTGCTCTTAGTAAACATGGCCACTGTGAGAAGACTGGGGAAGAAAAGAGAAAAAAGGTGTGCAAAGAATACAAAGGCGGCAATGATCCAGAAGTATGTGTTTGTAGATTGTCATTACCAAACATTTCTAAAGGTGTGTTTGTTGTTATTTTAAAGATCTGGGTAAAGGTCCGTTTTAAGATTTGAAATTGAAAGAGAGAAGCTGATTGGTTGCCCTGGACAACTCCAGATTCTGTTTGCTCCAGTTTTTTTTTTTTTATAAATTCCCCTCTATGTATCTTATGAGTCTCTGGTGGTACCTTGAACGTTCCCTAATCCTTTCTTTATTTGTTTTACATCTGATTGGATACAGTCACTGTTCGGCCCAAAATTTTGTGCCAGACTCCTTCAATTTTGTAATCAAAGTTTGTTATTCTTGTTGATGCTGACAGGACCAAGGATCGAGTTTTGGCCAATTAAAAAAATTACAAGACATTTTCTAAACTGTTGACCATTACTAACTTACCACGCCTTGTTGTTTCTGTGTGGAGGTGCGCATCTTAGAAGAGGAGCAGGGCTTTGCCGCACCTCTTCCAATCAGAGAACACTTAGTATTCATTGATAGAAATACATGGCGGGGGGAATTTATCAAAACTGGAGCATGGGGGTATGGGCATAACTGTAGATCATGGGGAACATGGAGTTTACCACTGCTGACCAATTCACCTGAAAATGCTAGTTGCCTGGCTTCAATACTATTTTGTCAATGATCCCCAACAAGATTACAAAGCAAGAGTTCTGATTTTGCTTTGACTTCACATTCTGCGTGCTTGTTCCAGGTGCATAACTCAAAGTATTGAAGTTGCCAACTCTGGGGTAACTAGCATTTTTAACAGAAGGTCAGAAATGGCAACCTACATATTTCTCGCAGTACAAGTATCCTTTAAAGGAGGATGTGTTTAAGGTCCATATTTGTCTCTCTCTCTCTCTCTCTCTCTCTCTCTCTCTCTATCTATACACTATATCCAAAAATATTTGGAGGCCTGCCTTTACACACACATGAACTTTAGTGTCGTTTAGTTAAAGCGGACCTTTACACTCAAAAATCTAATTCTACCAATGCATCCCTCTATGTATAATGATTAATAATAACATAGACATATCTGGTGTAAAATGCTGTGATTGTGAAATACTTACACTTGCAGAGCATTCACTTCCTGATTTGAAAGGGAAAAATGACTTCAGGTTGCCAACACAATGCACACTGGGATTGCCTTGTCATCAGCAGATCATTGCTGGGAAATCTCATCTGTAATCTCAGGAGATCTCCGGGAAAGGCGATTTCCTCCCCTGAGATGATGTGCATGGTCACATGTCCTAGTCACATGTTTAGTCACATGTTACAGAAATCCAGGAAGTAAAAGGAGAGCTAGTAATCTGCTCTTAGTAAACATGGCCACTGTGAGAAGACTGGGGAAGAAAAGAGAAAAAAGGTGTGCAAAGAATACAAAGGCGGCAATGATCCAGAAGTATGTGTTTGTAGATTGTCATTACCAAACATTTCTAAAGGTGTGTTTGTTGTTATTTTAAAGATCTGGGTAAAGGTCCGTTTTAAGATTTGAAATTGAAAGAGAGAAGCTGATTGGTTGCCCTGGACAACTCCAGATTCTGTTTGCTCCAGTTTTTTTTTTTTTATAAATTCCCCTCTATGTATCTTATGAGTCTCTGGTGGTACCTTGAACGTTCCCTAATCCTTTCTTTATTTGTTTTACATCTGATTGGATACAGTCACTGTTCGGCCCAAAATTTTGTGCCAGACTCCTTCAATTTTGTAATCAAAGTTTGTTATTCTTGTTGATGCTGACAGGACCAAGGATCGAGTTTTGGCCAATTAAAAAAATTACAAGACATTTTCTAAACTGTTGACCATTACTAACTTACCACGCCTTGTTGTTTCTGTGTGGAGGGGCGCATTCCACGCCTTGTTGTTTCTGTGTGGAGGTGCGCATCTTAGAAGAGGAGCAGGGCTTTGCCGCACCTCTTCCAATCAGAGAACACTTAGTATTCATTGATAGAAATACATGGCGGGGGGAATTTATCAAAACTGGAGCATGGGGGTATGGGCATAACTGTAGATCATGGGGAACATGGAGTTTACCACTGCTGACCAATTCACCTGAAAATGCTAGTTGCCTGGCTTCAATACTATTTTGTCAATGATCCCCAACAAGATTACAAAGCAAGAGTTCTGATTTTGCTTTGACTTCACATTCTGCGTGCTTGTTCCAGGTGCATAACTCAAAGTATTGAAGTTGCCAACTCTGGGGTAACTAGCATTTTTAACAGAAGGTCAGAAATGGCAACCTACATATTTCTCGCAGTACAAGTATCCTTTAAAGGAGGATGTGTTTAAGGTCCATATTTGTCTCTCTCTCTCTCTCTCTCTCTCTCTCTCTCTATCTATCTACACTATATTGCCAAAAGTATTGGGATGCCTGCCTTTACACACACATGAACTTTAATGGCATCCCAGTCTTAGTCCGTAGGGTTCAATATTGAGCTGGCCCACCCTTTGCATCTATAACAGCTTCAACTCCTCTTGGAAGGCATCCACAAGGTTTAGTGTGTCCGTGGGAATGTTTGACCATTCTTCCAGAAGCGCATTCGTGAGGTCAGGTACTGATGTTGGATGAGAAGGCCGGGCTCGCAGTTTCAACTCTAATTTATCCCAAAGGTGTTCTATCAGGTGGGGGTCAGGACTCTGTGCAGGCCAGTCATGTTCCTCCACTCCATCCATGTCTTTATGGACCTTGCTTTGTGCACTGGTGCGCAGTCATGTTGGAACAGGAAGGGGCCACCCCCAAATTGTTGCCACAAAGTTGGGAGCATGAAATTGTCCAAAATGTCTTGGTATGCTGATGCCTTAAGAGTTCCCTTCACTAGAATTAAGGGGCCAAGTCCAACCCTGAAAAACCACCCCACACAATAATCCTCCCTCCACCAAACTTTACACTTGGCACAATGCAGTCAGGCAAGTACCATTCTCCTGGCAACCGACAAACCCAGACAAGTTCATCTGATTGCCAGACAGAGAAGCGTGATTCGTCACTCCAGAGAACACGTCTCCACTTCTCTAGAGTCCAGTGGTGGCGTGCTTTACAGCACTGCATCCAACGCTTTGCATTGCAATTGGTGATGTAAGGCTTGGATGCTGCTGCTCGGCCATGGAAACCCATTCCATGAGGCTCTCTACGCACTATTGTTGTGCCAATCTGAAGGCCACACGAAGTTTGGAGGTCTGTAGCAATTGACTCTGCAGACAGGCGACTTCTGTGCACTGTGCGCTCCAGCATGCCCTGACCCCACTCTGTCATTTTACTTGGCCTACCACTTCATGGCTGAGTTGCTGTTGTTCCCAGTTGCTTCCACTTTGTTATAATACCACTCACAGTTGACCGTGGAATATTTAGTAACAAGGAAATTTCACGGATGGACTTAATGTACAGGTGGCAACCTGTCACGGTACCACGCTTGAATAAACTGAGCTCCTGAGAGCGACCCATTCTTTCACAAATATTTGTAGCAGCAACACCTGATTGGAACACCTGAACCC